GGAGCCGGCGGGGAGCGGCGGGGCGGACGGGCCCTGATGAGGCGGAAAGAGAAGCGGCTCCTGCAGGCGGTGGCGCTGGCGCTGGCGGCCCTGGTCCTCCTGCCTAACGTGGGGCTCTGGGCTCTGTACCGCGAGCGGCAGCCGGACGGCAGCCCCGGGGCGGCGGGGGCGGCGGTAGCCCCGGCGGCCGGACAGGTGAGTAGGGGGCGGCCGAGGGATGGGGCACACCCGGGTTCCCGGTTCAGTCCGACCCGCGGTTCCTCCCTCCACCTCGGCGGGTCAGGCTGCTTCCCATTTTGAGGATGGGGATGTGGAGGCGCAGAGGTCAAGGACTTGTCTGGGACCCCCTTCCAGCCAGACACAAGGACGAAACTCGAACCCGGGGCCCTCGGTGTGCAGCCCCCCTCACCTCGTGCCCTGTGTTGCTATTTTTCCTGACCTTTTGCCGCACTCTTGGCGGATTTACCTGCGTCCCGGTCATCCAGGATGGAGAGGCTGGTCCTTCTGTTGGGCGTTCTGGTCTTTACCCTCCCACCCCACCTGCTGATTCTGGTGTTTCTACCCAAGTCACCCCTTTTCCGTTGGCCGTCTGCACAGAACACCCGGGCCCCCTTTGTGTCTCCCACCCCCAGCCTGTGCCTCCATCAGATTCCCTGCGTTCCTTGGGTATACAGAGATCATGCCCCTCTAGGAGCCTCAGGACCCTGGATGACGTGGTAAGGTAGAGGTAGGGACTGAGCGCCTGTCCTCCAAGAACTTGCCACCCTTGACTCCTGGGGAGTCCAGAAGCTACGTGGAGGCTCTGGGAGAGGACTCTCCAAATGTCCAGGGCTATGGTTCTCTGAGGACAGACCACCTCCTGTCTTGTCTGAACTGATGTTTCTTGTAGACAAAATTGGGATGGTCATTTGTTTCTGCCTCTCTAGAGCTTGTGTGTGTGTGTGTGTGTGTGTGTACATGGATGCATGCGTGTGGACCAGCACATTCCTGGAACAGAAACCATCATTCACTCTCAGCTCCTGGCACTGGTGGGCATGCTTGAACTGTTTCCTCCCCAGGGTATTTCAAATTCACTTACAGGATTTCGCTGGCCCTGGGGGAAGTGGCCAGTTTGTGCATTAGGGTCAGACTTGACTGACTGCTGGCTGGCCTCTAGAGAAGACGCAGACTTTCTGAGGCTGAATGCTTTTCCCTTCTCTTCTAGTGTTAGTCTGCCTTCTGGGTGCACTGGCTTCTTGGACGAGGGTTCTTTGCTATGGCGCTGATCAATTAAAGTTTGGCCCAGTACTCTGGTCATTGTAAACCATCCCAGAGGGTCTGGTTGATCTTTCTGGTAGATCTCACTGGTAGAACACTCCTTTTATAAATCTCCAGCTCAAATTCTTGACGGCCGATTCAGACCTCTAGATCTCTACTACGAGCTTGCTGTGCTGATGAGTCTGGTCACCCTCTCTGAGCCTACTTGTTTCATCTGTGTGATTCAGCGCCAACATTCCATGATACTCAGTGGACTGGTGAGGAGCCCAGTGGGCCACTTCTTTCTCTTTTCCTGAGGTCCCTTAGCTTTCCTACCTTGGGATACTCTGTGCTGACCACAGCCCTGGCTGAGGGGGGCATGTCCAGCCAGGTGCAGACTCTCCTGTAGAATAGCTGTAAGCAAGTCTAAAATAGCTGTGGACTCCCTGCCTCTGCCTGGAGCGAGCCCTCATATTTCATTTGTTGTGGGTGCTGGAGACATCCTGATTTTCATTTTCTATAGACCCAGATGTGTAGCAAGAAGGTCAAGGTTAACTGCCTTCTCAGTTTGGCCTGAGCTTTCACAGCAAATTAATCACTGTACAAGAGGGTACTGATGGAGTGAGGCCACCTTTGGAGCAGAAAGAGAGGAGCAGCTGCTGAGTGCCCGTTGGAGGTGCTGCCTGGACTGCGCAGAGGCTGGTCCACATGCCCTGGTCCTTGTCCACTTCTCTGGAATGGCGTGCAGGGGACGAGGGAAAGGAGAAGGGGCATGTGGAGGTTGCCATGCCTCTGGGGAGCTGCAGAAGGGGGCTGTGTCCTTGAGGATTTGGCATTCATGGGCTGCCTTTCTAGAGCATCCTGCCAGATTTCCACACAGTCGCTTTCTCTTCGGATGTCCCACAGATGCAGAGCCCTGGGCTTGGTCCCTGGCCCCTTGTCTGAATGTCAGCTGCCCTCCAGGAAAGAGGCTGCTTTCTTCCTTCCCTCTGTCTCCTCCATGTCCTGGAGCAGGCAGGGGCTGAACGTAACAGGTGGCTAGCTGGGACACGAGCGTCTACAGCACCTGGAGCTGTTCAGCAGAGCTCACCAGTTGTCGCCCTGTCGCTTTTGAGAGTCATCCCAAGGACCTGGATGATCTTTCTGGTAGAGTTCACTCCGCCAGCTCTGGCTGAGCCAGCCTGTTGCTCATCCGGTAGAGTGCTTGCCTGACGTGCATAAAGCCCTGCAAGGAGCTGGAACTCTGCAACCTGCACTGGGCACACCTGTAATCCTAGTATGTGGGTGGTGGAGGCAGGAGGATTAAGAGTTCAAGGCCAGCCTTGTCTACGTAGTCTGGGCTACATGAGACCTGTCTCGACAAGGGAAGGGAAGAGAAATTGCTGCAGAGGCTCTAGGGCAAAGTCTGATGGACTTTCTCTAAGATTTGAGCTGCATTTATGTGAGGTCGCTTACCCTGGTTTGAACAGACCTCTGAGTCCTTGGCTTTGCCTCTGGGGTGAAGAATAGAGCTCTAAATGAAGGTTCTGGTGTCTGTCCACAGACCTGCCCTGCGGCCCTATCTGGGTACCAGTGGGGCCCAGCAGGGTGTTTGAATCATAAAGCACACATCAAGCCAGCCTCCAGGCATCTTTGTTTTAACTTGGAACTCTCTCACTCTCATTCCTACCTCTGATTTGCCTGACATCTTGGTTTAAGTCTAGGGTCCTAGGGTTGGTTTCATCTCACAGGCTTGGGAATGGGTTCCCAGTAGGAACTAGGTGTAGCTCTCTGTCCTGTGAGAACTGGCTTCCCTGGATAATATCGTCTGTGGGGTAGAAGCGGTGGGATCATGGAATACTAGTGACTAATTTTCCCCCATCCCAGGTTTTTCTTCCTGTGTCACAGCAGGACTTTATTCTTAGGACATCCTGAAACCCATACTTTCCCCCTTTCAGTCTCCTGGTAGCAGAACCTTGCCAGACGCCAGCAAGTTAAGCACCATGGAAATGTGACCTGGAGTGGTTTCTTTGCTTTTCCAAGGAGGGGCTGGTGTCCTTTAGATTGCTAATCACTTCTGTCAGCTTGCCCAGGTGAAATCCAATGCCACCGGGGAAGGGTTGTTGACTGGTCAGACCAAATCCACCTCCTGGCCTCTTCTTCCTCCTGGGCTTATCATCTGAGGAGGGGAGGGCCTGGCTTCTGGTCCTGGTGCATTGTATCCTCAGGAAAAGGGTTTAACCTTTCTAGGCTGTAGACTCCTCACCTGTGAAACTAGTTTAGATTCAGAAAGGAGAGCGGTGCATGTATATGTAACTGTGCCCACCCATGGCCAGGGCAGACACTGCTAATCAATGCCTGTCCCACTAAGGCCAGACTTGGCCTCAGACTGTTGCTTAACAGGGCTTCTCAACTAGGGTGAGTGGCATCAGAACTTATTTGTGATGTTTTGTCTGTGCTTTGCCAATCTAACATCCCAGGGGTTTTGTGAGTTTGGCAGTATGTGTTGGAAAGGTCTAGAATCAGGCTGAGGCCCCTGCTGGGGGGAGTTTGTTCATGTTCTGGCTCCTCTTTGAGGCAGCAGTGTAAAGGTATTCAGCTTTCTTGCTGGCTCCAGTGGCAGGTAATAGATAATGGGATCAGGGGAACGCACGCAAAGGCCTCTTTAAAAGATAACCATCTGGCTTGCTAATTGTACCTTGTCTACTGTCAGCGGGCTCTTATCACTGTACAAAAAGCACCCAGAGGTGAAGGAGGTCCTGTCTCCCACTGCCCCCATGGTGTGCACTGCAGCATCTGTGTTTTGTGTCTGTCTGGTCTTCTGCCCCCTCCTGTGTGTGTCAGAGTCAGTAAGGAGAGGCTGGTATGCGTACTCTTGTGTTCAGTGGAGTGGGGATGGGAGGTCAACTCTACAGGTCTGAGTTACCGTGACCAGGTAGGTACATGGTGGCCTCCCACCACAGTGTCACAAATGTCTGGAGCTACACCCCCTGCTCGCACATGGCACAAGTTGGGGAAGGGAGGCTGTGTCTGAGTTTGTCAGAGCGGGCACAGGGCTTCAGTGGGCCTCTCGTCCAGCACTTTGGTTCTGTTTGATGGAAACTGAGGCCCAGAGGGGGTGATCACGTCAACAGGTCTCGCAGGGGGAGTGCAGCCCAACACACAGCACTCTGAGGTTCTCAGTCCGTTTCACAGTGGAGACTCTTCCTCCATAGACTAATGTGTGAGCTTTTCTGCTCTTATCTCCCCTGGGAGCCAAGATGCTCTCACCACGTCTTGAAGACCAGCAAGTAAAACACATTAACTGTTAGGGCAGCAAAGCGACCCTGCTTGGAGGTAGAGGGATTCAAAGGTGTGTGGCATGTGGCACCATTACTGCTGTCCCCGGCTGGCAGGGATAACGGGCCCTCAGAGCCCCTCACAGTCTTCACCTGTTGCAAATAACAATAATTCAGCCAGGAAGGCTGCAGTGATAAGGGGGCACATGGGCCCCTGGGACCACTGTGGCTTCAGGGATTGGGTGATCTGGGCTCTCTTGCCTCTGGCTTTCTGTATGTTAGCTTTGACCTAGACCGAGTTCCCATGGTAGCAGACCATGACCTCGGGTCCCTACACAGATCCTGGAGGAGAGGTTGTCTCCTCTGCCCACCTGTGTCAAAGAGAAGAAACCATCTTTCCTGTGAGCTCTAGCGAGTCTTCCTGGTACAGTTTGGAATTGCCATGCTCAGAACCCGTCACAGCTGGGAGGAGGAGCTGTGCTGGTTGAGTCCACTCATGCTGGAGCTGGGGGTAGGCTTGGCCACTCAGACAGGAGGAAGAGCAGCTCCCCACAGAAGCATCCAGCACTCTTGTGGGATGGAAAGAAGGATGCCTTGAGAAGACGCGCCCATGTCCACCTAGAGTCATGCCGCAGCACCCCAGGCAGTGGGCATCATCCCCAATTCACTGTGTCTTGGCTACCCTGGACTACTGTTGAGTGC